CTTTTTTTCTTATCAGTGCAAAAGAGACTCAAAATACTCGGTTGATTTTGATCTTACATTTAAGTGTTATACATCATTAGATCCTGTTAAGTTTCTATTTTTTTTGTGGATACTCACAATAAAAACAAAGTGTTGTGCTTTTCACCAAATAAAGAAAAACAAACATGATGCGAGTTCTGCGTTCTCTCTGTCAGTGAAGTCCATTCTGAAACGCGTCCTAAGATTAACTGTAACTCCGCGATTACTTGTCACACAGGCACGAGAGATTTTTCTTTATGAAGCTTGAATTCTCTTCTTTTAAATGAAGTAATTTATATAAAAAACAAATATTCTCAGTTTATGCAATCTGTATGAAAAGAGAGTGCTGTCAGTATTTTTTTTCCCAGCTCATTACACTTCATTACGCGTTAATCTGACACGCCCACGGAGGATGCGCGCTATTCAAACGCAAATGTCGAAGCAAGCCATGACAATGCCCACATCAGCCTTTCCACCGCGGCGGTAAAATGTGTGGTGTATTTGCTGCCTTTCACCGCTAGGAGGCGCTACAATCATAGACTCTGAAAAGTGTTCGTTTATTCCGGTTTATTCTCTCTAATGCGTAATCTGCTGCCACACCGCGGCTGATTCAGAGCGATTGAAAGCTGGTAGCAGATGAATTCAACAAGTGAAACGTAGTTAAAATAATTCATAATCACAATACTGAAATTAGGCTACTGAAATGTAATTGAATACATAATGAAAACATTTAGGCTACATCAATGAGGCTTTACAATTTTAAAAGCATACAGACGGTAGCTCAGTGATCAACGCAACAACACAAGCTTCGAGGAGCTTCAATCGACCCGAGATCGAATCTCAATGTAGCATACATGTTGTTAACCGATGTTGGCCTACAGCGTTTATATTTTACCACCTTGATGCTTAAATAGGTAACTGTTTATAACTGTTTACTTATTTAAAGTCAAGAGTTTTGTTTAATTATCATTACAACATAAATTTGCTACATTCCTGAAGAACCGCAGCCGCTGCACAAACGACAAAAACTGATTAAGGAAGATTGTCAGCCGATTGCATCAGAAAATGAAAATGAAGAAGCTCGTCTTTAGTCTGCTAAATTATTGTGTAATGTAAAAGAACACTAAAATTACTTAAGTTTGAAACCAAGTTCGAACATTTCAAGGTTTAAATAAAGTGTCGGGACAGTTTTTTTAAATTTAAAACAGGGTCGGGTTTAGAGTTTATTTCTTTTGCGATGCAAAATAAGAAACACTAGGCTAATCTTATTCTTGCGACATTTTAAATTTGTATTGCCAAAGAAATTACAGCTAAATTAAACAATTAAAACAGTACAAAACGAAAATTGTCCAAAGAAACATAATTAAATTAAAAACATGCGTTTTTCTGTGCCTCTCTCGCGCTGGATCTCTTTTTAACAAGTTTATTTAGTCTCCCTCGCTGCGCGTGCCGGGTCTCTCTCGAAATTAAACATTTCAGGGTAAAAACACATCATACAGCTGATAATACTGTATATGTCGCTGCGTGTCAGCCATACAAATCACGAAAAAATTATTTAGCCTTTAATTGTTGCTTCAAAGACACAGCATGCCTTGTTGAATTCACCTTACAATAACTTCAATTGAAATTTTGTGTGAAAAAAAAACTTTAAATAGGCTACAATAAATAAACTACAATATTTATAATTTAATAAAATATGGGGCCTACATTTGGACACAGATTTATCCTTACAATAACTTTGCCTGCTCATCAGGCTGGCTATCCGACACTATATGAAAGAGGAACATTAACACCTTTGTCCAGCAACTGTCCCTCCAACCCCCCCACAGGCTATCGGAGTCTGAGGCTGACTTAACACAAAGAGAAGTCGCAATTCACACTTAAATCGCTATTCTAGACAGTGTTGATAATGAAGGAATTAAATGGAATTACATGTAGCCTAGTGATATTTCTGTCATAAAAGTTTATTACTAAATATTTTATTATTTCAATAATTGATGAAATAAAACTGGTTTGGGGCAGCTTTTTCCAAGCAAAACTAAATATAATCTGAAAAAACGCTTGTTAATTTGTTGTCATGAACAAAATGTTCAACTCAATATTAAAGTCTACAGGGATCTTTGGATCCTTACAACCAGGCATGCAATTTGTGAATTAAGTTTTTATTTTATTTTGTATTATTCAAATAAATATCGAAACACGGTGCTTCGTGGTAATGCTGCTAAATTCAATAACATTTATAGAATAATTATGAACTTAAATGAAACAATATCGCAACATTTCGACAAATACATTATTTGATCTGTTTTTACATTTTAATTCAGGGCGATTTAGCCTACATTTAATTAGAGCGAGATTTTCACCCTTGTCTTGTCATTTTCTCTTTGGGAAGCGCTTACATTACATGTTTGAGTAGATCCTCTGTACCTCTCGTTTTCATATGGATTAGCCTACATAATCAGATAACATTTATTAGCCTAAATATATAGACATTTAAAGGCTTTAGACATAGCCGATTTCTTATCGTGACTGAGCTGAAGTGGCTTTCGGTTCATTTTTGTGACGCGCAGTTCCCGGAGACAGAGACGACAGATATACTGTTTTTGTCGTTAGCCTATATGAATACAAGTTTACAGTTTTGAACGATGTAAGCTACTCTACTCTTATCTGTATGACCAAAAAATTACGGAGTCGCCTATTAAGTTATTTTAGCTGTAATAATGAGAAAAATAAATTAATCTAAATGAACGCGCCGCCGCGTTTGTCGAACACTAACTCACCATGCCAGAATAAAACCCGACTTTAGATAAATGCATAGGGCCACTCGGCGTGGTGTGCCAAAACACTTAATTATAAACTTCAATATTTCATTCAAAATAATCTCAACACGCTTTGTGAAATTTTGAAAAGCCGTGCATGCACTAAGGCCACTGGAACTAATGAACAACTGAAACGCTGGTTTTGATTTTATTGTTTGTCGTTTAAACGTGCCTGTTGCATATCTCTATTTTATATACCGGTATTTGATATTGGTGAAGTATAGCCTATAACATTGATTAGCTGTGGAGGGAGGGGTGTGGGAATTAAAATAATTCAGCAGAAGCAGGGATGTTTCGACCAGAAGGAAATCCCAGTCCCCCCTGGCAAATCACACTTTACTTAAAACCATGTTTTTAAAAACTCTAGGTTGTAGGGAACAGACCTCTCTGCCATGCGCGCGCACGGTTTGGAGCACAATATCTGTCTTGCATGCACGCTCGCTCTAGATAGATTACGGGATATTTTAACTAATTTGCGGTATAATAACTCGATCACGAGTGGCTCAACAGGTAGATCTTAGATTTTATAAATATAAGCAAAAAAAAAGTTTTAGAGCTAGACAAATCTCTCTGCAATAATAAATATAAAATTTACAGCAGACCATGTTTGTGCAGGATTTGAACCCGTGTCATACTGATGATGAACCGTAAGTTCTACCGCTCGGCTATGAATTTTCTCACTGAGAAATACCCAAACGTTTGTTTCTCACATGAGCGAGAAAACGTTTTGTCTTTAGCCTGTGAGAGTGTAGGCCTACTTTAGCCTTTTACAGTTTTAAAAGATTATATCTTATCTGTATGACCAACAATTTGTTGTAGGCTTATTTGGAAATTACCATAACTTGTAGTATTTCATCCTTAGGCTACTGTTAATAGACATTAGCCCCACTTACGTTTTGCTAAATGTCCCTTTGCGCCACCTGGCGGTCATTTCGCGTACGACTTTGACATGCAACTGGTTTATTTTTACCGCGGTGGATGGCTAAAAATGGTATGTGGATGGCTAAAAGGTGTGACTAAAAATGTGAATGATTAGGCAGAATGATTTTCAGATCAATTTGAAGCAAAAACTCTAGGCGACAACATCCACTAGTCAAAAGTCTTGTGGACAGATATTTAGTATGTTATTTGTGGCCTTATATTAGAAACTTTATTTTTTATTTTTTTCAATAACCACGCATAAACAATATTCTCTCAAAAATACAAACATGTACATACATGTTGCTCACATATTATGGTAGCCCTGTGTGTGCTATATAGAGTGTAATTTCACCTGTGCCATTAATATGTTTATAAGCAACTGAAAAAAGCACAAATGTCAGAGCATGCCAAAACATCTCAAGGACCCCGAAAACACCTCAGACCCCAGAGGGTTAACCTGGCATACATATTACACACATTACACATTATCAAATTTATTTTTATTTGCATCCATTTTTATCAGGCTGCATAAATTAGGTCAACCGGGAACACTTCCCATAACAGCCGATGTACTTGTTACATCATACGAAGAATAACATCTACACTAATATTAGTCTCTCTGTTTATCACAAGCTTGATGTAGTCAGCCGTATCCAGTCCGAATCCAGATCAGATGTTGGACCTGCACCTAGACACAAACTCAACACAGCACTGAATGTCAGCAGAGATCCTGTCAACTAGACAATCCCCTGTGAAGGCCTCGTCGACACAGATCCTCAGCAAAGACCACAAGAACCAGACAATTCCTCTGCCCAGACCCATGACCAGCCTCATTTCCATATTGGCATGTTGAATCCAATCTTCAAGCAAAAAGAACTGGATGAAATATTTGAATACTATCAAATACTAATCTGATTTCTGACGTGATGCAGCCTGAATCATAATCACACCATGTTTGTTTGTTGGCCTGCGGAGCACTGGCCCAATGACTGCTTTCTCATTTGGCCTGAGTTTTTGTTGCATTTCACTGTTCTGACCAGCAGGGGTCACCAGCATGTGGCGATTCGAATGCTTCGAAACAGTGAAACACTGGGCTGGTGACGAGATCGTGACACAGTGAGGTTTGATAGATAAAAAAAAAAAAAAAACTTTGTTCATGAGGTGCTCATGATGAGTCTGACAAACACTATATAAACAAACTCATTGTCATCAGAAGAGTATGGGAGGTCCAGAGTCTCTGTGATGCTTGTCTTTGGGTTATTGCTGCTCTGCAGCATTAAAACAAAGGGGGAAAAGGCTAACTGTAGTATTATAGGGCAACCAGAGTACCCCCTGCTGTCCAAAGATGGAGAAATTATCATCGGAGGAGCTTTTTCTATTCACAGCAAAATAAATTTGGAAATGCCATCATTTACAGAAATACCTCATCGTCTATTGTGCACCAGGTTTGCAAACTTCTCTGCTTCTATTTGATTAATTTAACAGTGTAAATATTATATGTCCTACGGAAATTTATTTTATTTTGTGAAATAAGTCATTAGTTAATATTTCCAATAAGACAATCTTCCAACTTTACTGCAAAAAAATAGTTTTGTTAAATCTCTCTCTCTCTCTCTCTCTCTCTCTCTCTCTCTCTCTCTCTCTCTCTCTCTCTCTCTCTCTCTCTCTCTCTCTCTCTCTCTCTCTCTCTCTCTCTCTCTCTCTCTCTCTCAACAAATTAGCCTTAATTTGAGAGAATTCCGCTTTGCTCAGACCATGATTTTTGCCATTGAGGAAATTAACACCAATCAGATGTTGCTCCCAAACATTTCGTTTGGATACCAAATATTTGACAGCTGTGGTTCCACATTAGCCTCTATGAGGTCATCAATGGCTCTGATAAATGGCCAGGAGTTGACAGCAGAACACACCTGCTCTGGAAAAACAGCAGTTAAAGCTATTATTGGAGAATCTGAGTCTTCCTCAACCATTGTACTGTCCAGAGCAACAGGGCCCTTCAAGATTCCTGTGGTGAAATAAATATACATAATATTTCCTATTGTAAGTAATATGTGGATAAAAATAACTATTCCTTTTATCCGTTCTGTTTGACAGATTAGCCATTTTGCTACCTGTGCCTGCCTGAGCAACAGAAAGCAGTTTCCTTCTTTCTTCAGGACTATTCCCAGTGATTACTACCAGAGCAGAGCACTGGCTCAGCTAGTCAAACACTTCGGCTGGACATGGGTTGGAGCAGTGAGAAGTGATAATGACTATGGAAACAATGGCATGGCAACCTTTGTAGAGATAGCCGAGAGAGAAGGAGTATGCATCGAGTATTCAGAGGCCATATCGAGGACAAATTCCAAAGAGAAGACCGCTAAGGTCGTTGAAGTAATAAAAAAGGGCACTGCAAAAGTTCTTGTGGCATTTCTGGCACAGGGTGAAATGGATGTGTTACTGGAGGAAATTATCAGTCAAAATGTTACTGGGCTACAGTGGGTAGGCAGTGAATCCTGGATAACAGCGAGATACTTGGCAACTGAAAGAATTTCAAAAGTTCTTGGTGGAGCAGTTGGCTTTACAATTAGCAAGTCAAAAATCCCAGGGCTGAAAGAATTTCTGCTTAAAGTTAATCCATCTCAGAACCCTTCAAATGCTCTTCTGAGGGAATTTTGGGAGATGACATTTGGATGCCGTCTCTCTTCGACAATCAGTTCTCAATTTGAGTATGAAAAATTTTGTGATGGATCTGAAAATCTGAGTAATGTGAGTAATGCGTTCACAGATGTATCTGAGCTACGGATATCAAATAATGTATATAAGGCAGTCTATGCTGTAGCTTATGCACTTCATAACACAATTGCTTGCAAAACCTCAAACAGTTCATACAGTGAAAACATAACATGTGGAAATAAGGATTTAATGGTTTCCAGTCAAGTAAGTAAATCTTGGATATATGTAATTTTATATTTATTATTTACTTATTTATTATTGTTATTATTAACACATTTTGGTTTTAAAAATATTATCAGGTACTGCATTCCCTTCAAAATGTGAATTTCACAATGGCTTCCGGTCAGACAGTATACTTTGACCAAAATGGAGACCCTATGGCAAGATATGAGCTAATAAACTGGCAGAAAAACAGAGCAGGGGAAACAAATTTTATCACTGTAGGACACTATGATGCCTCACTACCCAGTGAACAGCAGTTTGTCATGAATTCTATCAATATAGTTTGGGAAGGAGACAGTTACACGGTATGTACAAAATAACATTAGTATGTTGAGTGCCTGATATATGTCAGTTAAATAAGTAAAAATTTCAAAATAAGTGCAACAAAGTGAGAATGTGTAAACATGGCAGAAACCGAGCTCAGTGTGCAGTGAGAGATGCCAGCCAGGTTTCAGACAAGCTGTGATCAAAAGGAGACCAGTATGCTGCTTTGAATGTTTGCGGTGCCCTTCTGGAGAAATCAGCAACACTACTGGTGAGATGACCATCACTTTGATATAAAGGGACATAAACACATTTTAATGTGCAAATAAATGAAAGACACACATATAAATGGATGTACATATTCCCACAATGTCATATATACCAGATTATGCTGAGGAAAATGAGGAAAAACATAATAATGTTATGCTCTATTTGTCTTTTTAGATTCTGCTGAATGCGTCAAATGTCCTTTAGAGTACTGGTCAAACGAAAACCACAGTATGTGTGTTCTTAAGAAGGTGGAGTTCCTTTCATTCGAGGAAAACATGGGAATTCTGTTGACTGCATTCTCATTAACCGGGGTGTCTTTAACAATTGCAGTAGCACTGGTGTTTTACAACTTCATAGACACGCCTCTTGTGAAGGCCAGCAATGCAGAGCTGAGCTTCCTGCTTCTCTTCTCATTGTCTCTGTGTTTTCTTTGTTCACTTACTTTTATTGGTCGGCCTACTGAGTGGTCCTGTATGTTGCGTCACACAGCATTCGGGATCACTTTTGCCCTTTGTATGTCTTGTGTTCTGGCAAGGACCATAGCAGTGGTAATGGCTTTTAAGGCCACAGTGCCTGGATCAAGTGTCCCTCAGTGTTCACTGCCCTTACAAAGAATTAGCGTTTTCTGTTGTACTCTTTTTCAGGTAATAATATGTATCACGTGGCTGGTATTAGCCCCTCCAATGCCATTTAAAAATATTACTCATTCATTAGATAAAATAATAGTAGAATGTGATCTAGGCTCAGCTATCGGTTTCTGGGCTGTACTGGCATATATTGGGTTGCTCTCTGTCCTATGTTTCATTTTGGCTTTTCTGGCTCGAAAGCTGCCAGATAACTTCAATGAAGCCAAATTCATCACATTCAGTATCCTTATTTTTTGTGCTGTTTGGATCACATTTATCCCAGCCTATATCAGTTCTCCTGGAAAATTCACTGTAGCTGTGGAGATATTTGCCATCTTAGCTTCTAGTTTTGGTTTGTTATTCTGTATATTTACACCAAAGTGCTACATTATCTTACTCAAGCCAGATCAAAACACAAGGAAACATATCATGGGCAAAACCCATAATAAATCACAATAAACTTATTATCCACTTTCAAAGCAATTTACTCTAGAACTATGCAATTTAACATTAAATACAAGTGTAATAATGTATCACTTAATTTTGATAGTCCACTTTAGACATTCTACTAACTATAAGTAACTGCCAGTCATTAGCGTATTAGTAGACTGCCTGTTTAATATTTGCTAACCCTTTATTTTGATGGTTAACTAACATTCTACTGACTTTGCAAGTACATGTCAACTTATTCCACTGACCCTAACAGTCAACTAATACCCTAATGAGGCGTTGACATTTAGTTGCAAATCAACAAGAGTTAGTTGGGATGTACTTGCAAAGTAAAAAAGAAAAGAAAAAAGGATTCACTCAAATATGTAACTAAATTAATCAAATTTGAAGAATTCACACACGCACACACACACACACATATATAATTCAAATAAAAAATGAACAAATTATATAAATACATTAAAACACACTGATTTCCCACTTTATAATAAATAACTTACAGTATAACACTTGTTGTTTCCAAAATATAGATCTGAAAATACTGCACTTGGGGAACTATTTTTCTGATTTAAATATATAGTTCAAAACTGCAGCTTATGTGCTTGTATCTGATTATTTCCAATATATTTTATGCATGAAATATTAAATCGCATAGCAAGAGAAAATTTGAAGGTTTCAATATACTAAAACAAGAATATATTCATTTTCAAGCTGATCTCTTTTTATCAAAACAATGTATTTAGAGAGAGTGACACCAATACAACATGCATTAGGAGACATTAAATAAAACAATGGCAATTTGCAGGAAAGCGATGAAAAAGCCTTTTAAAAAACATTAACCTACAACAATTTTTTTAGGAAATTTTAATAAATAAATATGACATACACAAATCTTTTTCCACAAATTTTGTATGCATGCAAATTGTATAATATCCAAGGTAAACATTTCTAGTAGTTGTGCAGTTAATTCTCATTCTGTATTTTCAGAAAGTTTTAGAATATTTATCCTCTCCCCAAATTTGTCACTAATAAAACACAATAATAAATATATATATATATATATATATATATATATATATATATATATATATATATAAATATATAAATATAGCTGCGAGCAGCGATGAAGGGCCAAAGCCGGCGGTACCGCAACCCTGGTGCACCAGGGTGGCGGTACCGCCGGCTTTGGCCCTTCATCGCTGCTCGCAGCTATATTTATATATATATATATATATATATATATATATATATATATATATATATATAAAAAGCCGGTGGCACCGCCACCCTGGTGCCTTTAGGGTTATTGTGCACGAAGTGCAAAAACGTAACCCTGCTTTGACTGTCTTTTGACTGATTTTTAGATACTAATATAGTATCTAATGAATAAGTACTAGTATCTTTTAAAAGCTACTAGTCCCTAAGGAATAGGCATTAGTATCTAAAGAATAGGCACTAGTCCCTAAAGAATAAGCACTAGTCGCTAATGAATAAGTACTAGTACTTAATGGAATAGATACTAGTATCTAAAAAATAAGTACTAGTAGCATGAAAACAGAGACTAGTAGGTTAAAATGATTAAATGTTAAAACGGCTTGCCATATTGGCTCAGAGAGAGAGAAAATGACCTTTTAGATACTAGTACCTATTAATAGATACTAGTATTTATTCAATAAATACTAGTACCAAGTCATTAGATACTAGTACCTATTAAATAGATACCAGTACTTATTCATTAGCTACTAATACGTATTCAAAAGAATATCTAAAGAATAAGCACTAGTATCTAAAGAATAGGCACTAGTACTAAAGATTAAGCACTAGTCGCTAATGAATAAGTACTAGTACTTAATGGAATAGATACTAGTATCTAAAAAATAAGTACTAGTAGCAAGAAATTAGAGACTAGTAGGTTAAAATGATTAAATGTTAAAACGGCTTGCCATATTGGCTCAGAGAGAGAGAGAGAGAGAAAATGACCAAGGAAAACAAATATATTGTTCTGAAAGAGAGAGATTTTTTTTTTTCTTAGCCCACACTTTTATTAGGTCAGTGACAAAACCCCATCATTGCATCATCTCACCAACAATCAACACAGCAAAACGCACGCACTCACACGCACACACACACACACACACACACACACACACACACACACACACACACACACACACACACACACGTGTCAAGTCACTTACATTTTAGATGCAATATTGACTGTTCTTCTGTTTCAGCAGCGAAAATAGTTAAACAAAGATCACAGCAGAACCATTGCATCTCACAGCAACGTGTTTTCTCATTACTGAATGATTCAGCATTTTGAACAAATTGGTTGACTCAAAGATTCAATGACCAATCCATAAACATCTGTCTCATTCATGAATGATTCAGTCGTTCAAACGAATCGTTTGAACGAATGAATCAATGACCCGCTCATTAAGACGGTCGCCTGGCGACACCTAGTGACGGTTTAGTGTTATTTGATTATACACTCAAAATATTCCACAACAAATCCTTTAAATTTAATGATATTCAGAACAGAACACGAATAAAAAAATAACTATAATAAAGCCAAAACGAAATAATTTAAAACAAAAGTAAAAGTAAGTGGTGTTAGGCTCACGTAAATCTCTCTTTAGAATCTAAATGTTGCAACATTTGCGATGTATTTGGATGCTAAACTATTCTTTATTACAGGCTATGTACTTCACTCACGTTCCAATATCGACGGAAAAAATCATCCTCTTCACTTGTGCAAAAATGTGCTTGGAAAAATCACAGTGGAGCGGTGCTTACTGTGAATGATACAAATTGTACTACTGACTATTTCAACATAGCAGTGTAATTTGTATATGTTAGGTTGAATGTTTTATTATTGTGTGTGTGTGTGTGTGTGTGTTTGTGTGTGTGTGTGTGTGTGTGTGTGTGTGTGTCAGTGTGTGTGTGGGGGTCTGGGTGGCTCAGCGCGATTGAACAGTGAAACATACTCCGTCATTTTCTTCATACAGGACATCATTCAAACGTCAAAGTGTTTACTTATATTTGTGTACACTCGCAATAAAACACAACATTGTGTTTTTGTTAAATAAATTAAAGTAATACGTCCCCCGAAATGGCGCTAATTTTAAAATGAAACTAAAATGCTCACGGCTGCACGGGCATTCATAACTCTGCGCGCCCACGGTGAGGGACGAGCAGAACAGAGCGAACGTTGTTTAGTTCATTCCTACTTCCATAGGAATTAATTGAAAAAGCTCACTCTACTCTGCACCATTATTAATGAATTGTGCAGACGTCCTTATTTTACTTTCGCTTTTTACCTGATTTTGAACACAAGAGGGCAGTATAACACTATGTATGATTTGGAAAAAAAATTTTTTTGACTAAACAACCATTCTGGCTGTTTTTAAACTTAAACATTATTCTCTAATTGCTCTCACCATGCCCGTTTCTGAAACTCTGCACATGTCTACTGTCTAATAAATGTGATGTGTCTGTCGGGTTTCATGCAATTTCAAGTATGTTAAGAGTCTCAAAAGCATCAACAAAGAATAATAAAGTTTGATGCGTTGCCACGGCAACAGTATCTAAGATATCAATAATCCTTTCTCAGGTCTACATCTGCCGTGTGTCTACATTATACACATAAAGTTTGAAGCAAATTGGGTAAAAATAAGAGGGTGATTTCAAAGCCTTTAGGAAGTGACACACTTCCTGCTGCCAGTTGGTGGCGCTATAACTTTGACTCACAATAGTCACATCCATGTGATCGGACTCTTACAGCGAACACACTGCTGAAGTTTCATCAAGATCAGTTAATGTATGCAGAAGTTATAACACACTTCCTGTTTCCTTTATTCGCCATAAATTCGTTTCCTCGCCACGGCCAAACCGTTCGAGATATCAAAAATCCCCTGGCAACTTTTCATCCTCAATGTCTTGACTTCATGCTGACCGAGTTTCGTGGCGATTGGTTGAATTCTCTAGGAGGAGTATATCGAATTCCAGGGGCATACGCTTCCAAACAAACCATAATAGCCGACTTCCTGTTGGGCTGGGGTAAAAAGTAAAAGTACAAAGGATATATGAATCGATGAGATCTATATGTGTACCGAGTTTCATATTATTACATTCAAGCGTGTTTGATTTATGGACCAAGTTTTCGGACCCTGTTCCAGGGGGCGCTGTCGAGCCCCCCTGCCACGCCCGGGTACCAGCTTCAGCCCGGCCCTGATGGCCGCGGGTTCTGACCCGTGTGCAAAGTTTCAAGAGTTTTTGAGCATGTTAAGGGCCCCAAAAGTGCGCTGAGAGTCTCAAAAGTATCCAAAAAGAATATTAAAGTTTGATGCGTTGTCACGGCAACAGCATCTAAGATATCAACAATCCTTTCACAGGTCTACATCTGGCGTGTGTCTACATTATACACATCAAGTTTGAAGCAAATCGGGTAAAGCCTGTTTGATTTATGGACCAAGTTTTCGGACCCCGTTCCAGGGGGCGCTGTCGAGCCCCCCTGCCACGCCCGGGTACCAGCTTCAGCCCGGCCCTGATGGCCGCGGTTTCTGACCCGTGTGCAAAGTTTCAAGAGTTTTTGAGCATGTTAAGGGCCCCAAAAGTGCGCTAAGAATCTCAAAAGTATCCAAAAAGAATATTAAAGTTTGATGCGTTGTCACGGCAACAGCATCTAAGATATCAACAATCCTTTCACAGGTCTACATCTGGCTTGTGTCTACATTATACACATCAAGTTTGAAGCAAATAGGGTAAAGCGTGTTGGATATATGGACCAAATTGTCTGACCCGTTCAAGGGGGCGCTGTCGAGCCCCCCTGCCACGCCCGGGTACCAGCTTCAGCCTGGCCCTGATGGCCGCGGGTTTTGTCCCGTGTGCAAAGTTTCAAGAGTTTTCGAGCACGTTAAGAACCCCAAAAGTGCCCGAAAGCATAAAAAAGCATGAAAAAGCTTAAAAAAAGGAATATTAATGTTTGATGCATTGCCATGGCAACAGTA